TACATCAGCCAGGCATGGGTTAGCTCAGGGGCTTGAAGCAAACCGGATCCCCACCTGCCAGAGCAGTGCCAGGATCTGAACTCATGTGTGGTCAGCAGCTCCATACAGAGAACAAGAAGCAGAAGCTGACTTTGACTGGTCAAGGGTGGCCTGGGTGGCCCTACTGAGCTTGCTCAGGGATGGCAAACAGCCTGTACAGCTGTTCACTGTCATGAGCTCTATTACTCCCACCCTGTTTGCTCCAGGCCCTCTGACCAAAAGGTTACCCTTTTCTAGCTCAGTGCTGGGTGCTGCTTCCCTCACCATTGAGTCACTACTGTCCTGCACCCAAGCTGTTGACATGTGCTCCTGCTGTGTAGAACCCAGATCCCAAACTCAGGAGACTGGAGAATAATGTACCTTTGGATAAACCTGCAGGGATCAACCTGGGTAAAGCAGAAAATTGCTCACCTTTCAGGGACTCCTCATGGAGTCAGCTTCACGACTCTGTTCAGCCTCCCTCTGAATTCCAGAATTAAGAATGAGGTTCTCAAGACTGGCTCTGCACAAGAAAGAGCACATGGACATATGGAATTAGGTCAATTCTGTGTAAATAAAGAATAAACATATTGCTTCTAACCAGTCTGCCGTGTTACAGTGAGACCCCGGGTGCGTACTGCAGGTAGGCCACCCCCACTGCTCAGTTGATTCTACTGTAGCACGATACAGAAGTCCTTTTAACATTAATGCCTGTCAATCATACAAAGATTTGCTTCAGGAGACACCCAAGCAGGAAAAAATAGAGTAGCTAAATGTCACAGGCCCAATGAGAAAGAAACTGACTAATATTGTTCTTCCTTCCTTTAGGCAATCCCAGTAAGCAAGTAGATTGTGTGTCTTTTATCTGGCCACTTTTCTCCCCCTAATAGATGCAAATTTCTGCTTCTCACAATAAAAAACAGTAATTGTATCTGACACAGCTTTCATATTGAATCTGCTATTTTTTTCAGAAGTTTAATTAACTTTTGATTGCTATAACAAATTTCAGCATCTGTTTTGTAATTGTATGAAGGACTAAACAAAACACTAATCTATTTTTAATCATGTATTAAATTTCTGTTGCTTTCTTTAAACACAACTAGCGGATAAAATCAACTGCTCAAATCACAGAACTGTACTTCCACAACAGGAATACCAACCTTCACTGCAAACAATTCTGACATTTGTGGGGACACTAAATTGGCTCTGCTGGAAGAGCTGGAGGTGGACCAATTCTGATGCTACAGAACTGGAGCTGAAGAAGCCAAGACCTTCCTCAGAGGTATGGTGCAAAGCACAAAGATAAAAACCACAGTACCATCCTCCTCTCAACTTCCCCCAGAAGTCTGCAATGGTTCTTTCAAATGCTAAACAGACCTAGGGGGCAGTTTGGAAGGCAAAGTGTATGACAGTCTTCATTCTGTGTCTTCTCTGGAAGAGCTGTTTCTGGTAGTCTGCACAGGCATTGAGCAATAATTGTGGTCTTTGACTGACAGGACTGTTCATTTCTGCTGTCTGACTTGTACTAGGGAAATTCTTTATGCCCTCTTTGCTTTTCTTATTTAAATACCTCTGGAGGAAGGAGGATGATGGTTGGGAGGCAGACATAGTCCTAACCTCTGGACAGTACTTTGAATAAGTCAGTACTAAATACAGTCATCATAACATGTCTTAGACAGTAAAATTATTCTAACACCACTCGCTAATCCTCTCTGCACCCACACCACTGTTGAGCAGTACCTTGTCTCTTCTAGCTAATCAGCATTTCAGCTAACACTTCTGAGGCTGCAGTAGGCTTAACTGGGTCTTGAACTAGACTGTGAAATAGGCTACGAAAAGTAATCACCAAATATAGGAGCCAGAGAACCTATTTGTGCTATTTTTGATAAGGCAAGTAGCTCAAAAAGAGAAACAAAATTAGTAAACTGGGAGAAAAGAGGAAGAAAAATAGGTCATCCATCAATAGAAAGCAAAGGACTTGACTCAGTTCAAGATGTATGATCATAAAGATCACTTCAGAAATAAATCACACTAACATTCTGAGCTGTCCTATGGCAGTTTAAACATCTTGAACTAAAGATAAACAATATCTTTTTTGATTTCTTTGATCATTGACCTGTTGTTTCAACATGGCCAAATTAAAATTGTACTTTATTTCAACATTCATCTTAGTTTACAAATTATTTTGTGGAAATATCTTTACCTTGTGATAGAAATTTGCAATTCATTGTTGCAAATTCCACTTTCCAGGACATTCTCTGATGATGAATCTTTTAACAGCAATCTTTAATGGCTGGCACAAGGACATCCATCGATTCTGTCTCACCCTTCACACCAGTAGTGGCCCCCACCCATGATTTTTACTAAATTATTCTAAGTGATTGAAATTTTTTGGTTTGTTTTGCAAGGGAAGAGTTCCACATTTGGAAATGGAGAAAATGAAATGTTGAAATCTAATTTTTCCCTTGACACTTTCAGCTACATCTGTCCCAAAGGAGGTAGTTCTTCCAAGGCATAAGCCTTGCCAGCAACCTACTTTGTATCTTTGCTATCCAAGTGCCGCTGCAGCTTTGTATAGTTTCTCTTCAAAACAGATAGGGCCAACTCTGTTGATGTGATAGCTGCATGAAAGACCACTGATCATGTTTCAGACACCATAAACAAAGGAAACATCTTGTCCCTTCAAAGGTCCAGTCAACTCCTGCCCCTGCCAAATGGTATGCAACATCAAACTTAATAACAACAAAAACCCCCAAAAAACATCCCCAGGGAAGAATTCAACCACTTGAGATTATTTTAGTAATGAAAGAGAAGGAGAAAGCCAAGTCCCCGCACAGGCAGAACTTCCTTCCACCATCCACCCACCTCTTGACAAAAGGTTTTGTTCCAAATATGCATAGAATCACAGAATCACAGGATATGCTGAGTTGGAAGGGACCAATTAGATTTTCCAACTCCTGGCCCTGCACAGGACACCTCAAGAATCACACTATGTGCCTTAGAGTGTTGTCCAAACACTTCCTGAACTCAGACACCTAACCATTCCCACAAAGGGTAAGGGAAAACACACCTCCACTGCAATTTGTGAGACGCCATCTGCCCCTCTGAAGGAGAAATGATCTGAAAATAACCAGAAATGTATTTTGGGTACCATTCTCAAAATACTTACTTTCAGATCCAGTGACAACAAGCAGAGAGGATACAGGAAATATTCTGGGACAACTGTCAAATCCAAAACATGCAGAAAAATGTCTTTCTATAGTACTTGATAAAAATACCAGTATATTTTACACATGGATGTATTCTTTAGATGTCAGGAGATGAGATTTTATATAAAACCCACAGACAAACCCAAATCCACACCTAAATTTATCCAGTAAATTTACTATCATTCTTTGGCATAAAAAGAGAGGCCCTTAATCTAACAATAGGCCATTAAGATTCAAGAAATTCAAGGTGCAACAGAATTATTTGGCTTCCCAAGGAAAATACAACATAATTCCACCAAGAATCCACAAATAAACAGTGATGTTGTACCAATTTTTCCTATGCAATGTTTCACAGGCATTTGTATTGAAACTTGCACATGAATAAATGTTCTCCATCAAATCTTGGTGTAAATAATGGCACAGCACCAAATAACAATCAATATCCTTATATATTAGTATCTCTCTATAATCTGCTGATTATAATTTGCTCAGACCGTAGCAAAATCCATTTTCCTTAACAATCAATTTAAATCACAAATATATATGGAAAACCCTCTCATTTTAAATGGATTTCTACCTCATTAGTCTTTTTAATGAGTCTGGGGATACTGCTTTCAAGTAAATAAACAGGAGGTATTTTAAATAAAATTAGCTGAGTTTAAATAAAAATGTATTTTACAATACCCTACAGCTAGCAAAAATAAGCAACTTCATACACTAACAATCTAGTGCAATTTTCTGTTCTTCCAGGAAGAACAGAAGAGCAACCTCTTAGAGCACACATCAAGAATCTTCTTTTAAAATGACAGACAGAAGCCAAACATATCCCTATGTGTAACACTGGTTGTTTGGAAGTGCATATTGGCCCTTGCTGTTCAATAGGGATCTTTGGTAATCTTACACTATGATTGACTCCAGGTACTAAAATTCAGCTTCTTACACTGCTATATATTAACTCTTTTATTTTCTAAAAACCACTATTTTTAAAACACAGTTGTAAAAATAAAATCTTCAGTCATAAAATTAATTTGGAGAGAGATACTGAATTCCATATCATTCTATCCTGACTTGAATGAAGGCAGAATTGTTCAAAACTTGTCTTTGTCATAATTCATGTATGGGAGAAAGACACAACGCTTTCAGTTTTGGAGCTGTTCAAGGAGTATCAGGTTATATGGCCAAAAACCTGGAAGATAATAAAAGAACAACTTGAAGTATTTTAACCATCCCCATTAGCAGTGGAAGTTCATTCCAAATCTATGCACTTCTTTTTCCCTGATGATTTGGATCACTAGCTATCCAGATCCCTTTTAACTTTTCTTTCCCTCTGCTCCAATGCAGTATCATTGAAGAGAAATACTCCAGCTTGATAGACTGATCTCAGCCACCCGAAACACAAACAAGTAATGAAATAACAAACAATATTCTAATTTTCTTTTCCGTGCATAAACTATACAGCATGCTGCTCTTATCACAAACAAGTAACATTTCCCCACCAGAAGACAAGGAGATCTTTAATTTCTCACTAAACTAAGAAACCAAAGCCCGCTTCCTGCTAGCTACTGGGGCATCGGTAAGTAGAGCTGCGGAAACACTTTGTTTAATTCTGTTCCAAAGTTTGTATTCAGCCCCCTCCATAAACGGGGCAGATCAGAAACCCCCGTTTAACCATCCGCACTAGGTCCCGCCGCCGTGCCCCGCGGGCTCCAGCCGCTGCCGCTGCCGCTGCCGGAAAGGCGTGAGATGACCCGCCCTCAGCGCTGCGGACCCGCCATGGCGGCGGCGCGGCCGGTGCGGGCCCGGGCCCTGCTGCAGCAGAGTCTCTCCGCCCGCCTGCAGGTGCGGCCGCCGGAGCGCGGCTGCGAGGCCCAGTGGGTGGAGGTAACGTGAGCCGCCTCTGCCCTCGGCATCGCTGCTCTCCCCGCGGAGCGGGGCTGCTCGGGGCGGCCAGCGGGAAAGCGCTCCGTCCCCTGCGCGCGTGCGCCGGCGGGGAGAGGGTGGGCGTTCGGCCGTCTCAGAGGAACAGCCTCTGCTCCTTTTCCGGGCTACGCTGCGCTTCGGGCGGGTTTCCAACCTCGTCTCTTCAGCTCCAGGGCACTCTCCTCGCCCCCCGGTTATCTGCAAAGGTTGCGGTCATCCCCTTCGCCAGAGGGACAAGCAGTAGGAGGCCGAGGTCGGCGCACAGCCGTTTCTCTCTGCTGCTCTTTCTCCCTGTCGTCTGCAAGAGTCCTCCGTAGGCAGAAGTCTCTTCAGGAGTACAACTGCTCCATGAGCACAACTGCTCCATGAGCAAACACTTCCCTTCTAACTGTGTTGTTCCTTCTTTTCTTAAACACACTTTCACAGAAACACTGCAACCTTGGCTGGTGGGCTCAGCTGTCGGCCTTATTTGTTGTGTGGTAGTGTTAACTTGAGAAGAAAGGCCAGGTAGGGCAATGGGACTATGGCAGCAATAGTTCTGATGTTGTTTGGATTGTTGGTTTTTTTTCCAGGACCCTAAGTAAAAATGAAATTTAGCATGTAGACCACTACACTAGTTAAAGAAAACATTGTGGTTTTCCCCGTTTCCTCTCACAGTCTTCTGGGGAAGGTAGGTAGCTCTGCAGGCTCTTTGGTCCATGTGCTGTGCATGCAGCCCAGGGCTCTTTACCAAAGCATGAAGGCTGCCCTTTGGAATGCACTGCCGTGATGTAGTTGTCATTATTTGTGAATCACCTACACTAGAATAACTTATTGCCACTGTCAGCTATTTAGCCCATGGGGTTTTTTTTGTTTCATCTTTTGACCTTTTTAAAGACTATTACGACAGAAGGGGCTTGCATAAATTTTAAAAAGTAAAAGTTCTAGCATGGTTAAAGGGTTTATGCATTCATTCAACAGATCTGAAGAGAGTTCACTATTTGCCTTTCACGTTAGCCTTAAAACATTTCTCTCCTTGTTCAGAAGGGGCAGGTGGATCCAGCAGAACTAGTTTCTGCAGTATGGTCTGGGAAGCCAGAATGTTTTACTGGGAGGAGATAGGTGTCGTCTCACAGATACTGTTTTCCCAGACGTAGTGGGTCTGTGTATATTGCATTATTAACCTATCAGTATAAGGTTAATTACAATAAAATTCACTGAGCCCAGCATAAATTAAGTATAGGAGAAATAGCCTATTTCTAGCTTGCTAATCACAGAAGTAATTGTAGATCTAGTAAAGAAAAGCAGAAATGCAATTTTTTTGTCTTTCTTTTATCTTAAAAGGTACATGTTGTGGTTGAGAGATATGAATAACTTTGCTTCAAGGAGGTTATGTATTTTATCTCTCTAATTTGCAAAATCACTAGTAAAGTAATAGCACTAAAGCAATCTGAAAAAGATTTTGGTGGTCTCCAGCAGATATTTTTGAGACATGAACCTTACTAATATTTGTCATGGGTAGTTGGGAATCTTTCCCAGGTACCTGGGGCTTTTTGACAGAAGTCTGTTTTAACAATAACTAGTCACCATACAGAAAAAAAGGCAATTGTAAGTTTATACTTTCTCTAGTATGACTAATTTAGAGGACATTGGAAGGAAATTTTGCTGCTGACATTTTCTGGTGGGGTAATTTTCCTCCCTATTTTTGCATGTCAACCCAAAACCACAAAAATAATCCTCATCAACTATTACTTACATCAACCAGTGCATTCCTGATGTTTTATGACCAATTAAAAGTAGGACCTCACCTTGAGACATTTCTAGCATACTATAAATGGCATATTATGTGGGTAGTTTTGAACAGCTTCTGAACTGTAAGAGACCCCTGTAGGTACTTTAGGAACTTCAGAGCAGATGTTCTTTATCTGCAAAAAGGTTAGGAGTGTAGTTAATACATGAATCTCTGCCTTCATTGTGTTTTCATGATTAAGTTTTTTGGCCTGTTGATGGTTATTGTGCATAGGATGTCTTATTTATGGAGAATTTTAGTTACATACCCTCCATAAAAGGTTTAGGTATACAGCAAAATAGGAAGAAAAAACCGAATTATTCTTGTAAAGGTAGGGGTGAAATAAGGTAAGGTTTGGTGTATTTCATAACTGTGGGAGAAAAGTAAACATAAAATGAATATTCAGCTAAAAAGTATAAGTGCCTACACTTTATGCAAGGAAAATTGTCTTTTCCTTATCTTACTTCCCTTGACTTGTTTTCTGGTTACTATGGCAAAAAAGAGGTGCAAAATACCAGGCACAGACTTGTTCTGTGACCTGTGGCAGATGATGTAATCTCTCTTTGCTGCACTGAATATAAGAAATATGAAGAAATCTTCCCAGGGGGTAATAAAGCTGAACTTGAAATGGAAATGTCACAGAATAATTTATGTAAATTGGTTTCACAAACTGACTTTCTAAGAATTACAAAGTACCACTGTTTTTATTAGCCATTGCACTTTCCTGGAGGAAAAAATAGTAAAAGGTAGAGATAATATTTTGCAGAATATATTTCAGTTTTGCTAATGAAATCCTGAGAAATACAGATTAATGTATTTAGTAAGGAGGGCAAGGAAGGAGTCAGTTGTTTGTTTTTTCCTGCAAAAGAGCTAAAAAGCATCGTTTGGAGGCAGCATTGCTAGGCTCTCTGTATGGCATTGGGGCCATACAGTACTTCAGCACTTCATGGTGCAGGTTGTCTGATCTGAGGATTACTTAAGCCAGCTGAATAATAAATGACAGTGTTGCAGAGTATCTTGCTTTGCTGGTTTGTTCATTGTAGGCATTTAACTGCTCACAGTAGATCCACATAGAGCACAGCTTTCCTGTTCTGTCACTGTTAAATTCCTTGCAGTGGCTGTTTGCACACCAGCATGTTGAATTTATGATCTTGTGTTATTTTGCTCGAATTTTTGTGCATTAAATATAGGTATGAGTAGCAGTCAACTAGGCTTTGATAGGTTACAGAGGACCTGCAGCAATGGCAATGGTTTTGCTTTGGTTCAAAAAGTTTTCACATTACATTGACACCGAGCACGGGTTTTAGGACACCTGGAACACTCATATAAGGTCAGACTGACATATGTTATTAGGTTTGGTCTTGTAATTGCATTCAATTTTACATCTTCTATTCAACTAAGAACAAAGTAAGACTTAACAAGGGGTTGAAACATGGCTGCACATGTTGAACCACAGTTTTCAGTCATAATTGAAACCGTAAGTTTCAGTTTACAAATAGTTGCATAGCTTTCAACTATATCATGGTTGTAAATGTTCTAGAAGACCATAAACGTGCAGTATAAATAGAAGCATCCTCTATCAGCTTTAACTTATATCTGAATTGTTTTCTCATTTAATCTCCTGTCCCTCTATTTTTCTTCAATATGTATGTCTCATCCTTATGAGAAATAGTTTATTCAAAAGCAAACATCAAATAAGGGCAGAGGCTGGAAAAATCATGATTTATTTTACTTAGTCTGTATCTGTCTGGCCTTCAGACTTGCAGGGGTCACTTTTTAGTGTCTTTAAACGAGCTGCCTGCAGAATGTCATTACTGCTGTGAGACTGAACAAAAAAAAGACTCACAACTCTCAGAATTAAAATTATTTTCTGTGATGTGTGCTGTATCACAGTCACTTATTTCTAATGCTGGAGTTAGACGTATGCAATATAAATAAATTCTGCCTATTTTATAAAAAATATTTTTATTAGTAGCTATTTGTGCATTATTGTTACTTACTAATATCCTGACACGGTCTGTTTCTGAAACTAATATTTAGCTAAACATGTAAGGATATCTAATGTATGTCAGTCTGCATTTCTCTCCCTTATTTGAACAGATGATTTGAAACGTCATTTGAGGTTCTGGCCATCAAATTTCTTACAGTGTTTATTAAATATGGCTATCATTTGGGAATCTGTATAATATTCTGCAATAGTCATATCGAGTTTTGAAAGGAACCATTTAAATCTTTTGAAAGTTCTCAGCATGTGACATTTTGGCCACAAAGAGCATTCTCTTTTTTCAGAAGTTAGTTATTAGAAAAATAGTTGAGAAGGCATAGCTTTTCTCAGTCATTGCCTTGAGCATTTAATTTAATCTCTGCAGTAACAAAGGGAAAAAATCTCATGTGTATAGCTAAGATTTCTTCACCAAAAATCTTTATTGTGCAAAGAACAGGGGAAAAAACAAATAGAGGAAATTGTTTTTTAAAAAAGTGGTTTTTTAGAAACTATTCACATTTTCTATCATTTTGCTTTGACAGCATTGATAGTAATACCTGTCCCAACCTATTTAACATCTCTTCAGTGGTATTTCACAAGTTGACGTTTATGTTTCCTCCAACAATATTAAAAATATACTTATTCTTGACAAAGAAGCGGGGAGGTTTCTTTATGTCCACTGTCTGTGGATACTTTGGGTTTTTTCCCAGAGAAGTTAAGCCATGCAGGTATAGTTTTGCGTGAGACAGTTGCTGCTGGCTGCAGAGCCTATCAGTTTGGCTTAATAAAGCATGGGTTGTTGCATGTGCATTCCTTATGGACTAACCAAGTGAGCAGAAGAACTACACAAGAGTTTTCTTATGCTTTCTCCTCAGCAGAGGCACAGTTCTTTCCTCAAATATATAATTCTTACAAGTAGTCTCTGAATGCTGAAGATGTGGCATATCCTTTATACCAATCAGCTGAAAGGTTCCATTTTGCCAGTTAGATTTTATCTAAGCTGATAAGTAGTATTTTGAACAACTTTATCATATTCTGAACAAGTTCACATTTGTTGGTCGTCATATTTAGATATTTAATTACCAGACTGTGTTTTTTTCAGAATTATATTGTACTAGATTACTTTCAACATCAAAATAAAATGCAGTTCTTTGACAAGTCCTGTGGTGTTTTTCATGTTTCGTAATTGGAAATAATATCATAATTCACACTGAAAATTATTTTAACTGTACATTTGATAGGAAAAAGTTTAAATTATTTCTTAATTAAATTATTTCTTTACTGCATTTAAGTATACTAATTCATCTTGTCACCTCATCTATGTTAATACTGTATACTTTACATTCCAGCTAAATTTGGCTTCACATGGAGCTAATAAATTGTCTTAATTGTATGTAGAAGCATTGTGCAGATAATCGGTATATATCTTCCACAGTGTGGTGTGTAAACTTAATGTCTGAAGTTATTCTAAACTAAAACTACTCTTTCAACCTTTGTCTGTTATGTGGTTTTGTCATTTTTTTATACCAGATTTAATGATAAGCATGCATCATAGATAATGAGAAATATTGACATAGTTTTCTGTAATCTTTTGTAGATCCAGAGAGGGCTTGTTATCTACATATGCTTCTTCAAAGGTGCTGATGAGGATCTTGTCCCAAAAATTGGTATGATATAATCCATATACATTATTGTATTGTTTGAAAAAAGAAGAAAAGCAGTTGAGGCAGAGAAGGTAGCAACCATTTGGATAAACCATGAGATGGCATTATTCTAAGTCAATAACCTGGCTGAAAGAACAGTTTGTCTGTTTCTTTTGACAGTTGTCCATGCCTCTTTGTCTATCTGTTCATTACCAACCTAGAAAAGAAATTTCCCTGATCACTTTATAGGAAACGAAGAAAATGTTGCACCTTCTGTTTGTGGCAATAGGTTCAGTCCAGGACAGAGCTGAATTTCAAATAGTTCATGGCTTGATTTGATAGTATTTTAACACTGATCTGACTGTATGTGCAGGATATTTAACAGCCGGTAGAGGGAGTTGTATGGATAATGAAACAGTGTCTTTCCCATCTCACTTCAGCAGTGCTTACATACACTGTTAGCCTGTGCAGTTTTCTGGTTCAGAAGCAGTAACAGCAGCATCTGCAATTCTTACCTTCTTCTCCACATGCACTTTAACATTTACGTTGAAGCAGAGAAGATGCTGTGGATAAGGTCAAATAATAGCAATTTTTGTCTTTACCCAATGCTGTTTTGGCTTGATTTTTTTGTTGTTGTTCTGGTTTTTTGGGTTTTTTTTACTTTTATGTCATTTCTTCTCCCTCCTTTCCTCCATCAGTAGCACTGGTTCCCCTGGGAAATTCTGTGATTCCATACATTCCAGATAAAAGTGCCCCTTTTCTTCCCTGTGGCTGGCTGGTACTAGTGATTTGGCTAAAGGTTGTGTAACAATATTTCACTATTTCAGTCTGTTTCAGGCTACTGACTGGGACCAGTAGTGCACAAGTACAGGTGCTATTAAAAATTCTAAGAGCAACTCCTGGGGGGTTCTGTCTTGGTCTTGGGGGGCACAGTCCTTCTGTAATGCTAAATATTTAAATCTATGATATAAAAATTTAGTTTGTGCTAGTAAGATTTTGATGAGAATGTTGCTTGAGAATAATTACATTTTCAGCTGTGGGGCAGCTAAAACAGGCCAGAAAAAGAAAGTTCTGTTTCCTGTCAGGAGATTCCTCTAGGACCATCCTCCTTGAGTGCCTGTTTTAGAGAATATTGTTTCCTAAATATATTTTGAATCTGTTTAAGTGTGTGGGTCTGGTTCTTAAATGACAACTCAGCTGTTTTTGCTTCTAACAACATTCCCCTGATTCTAAACATTTGTGTTTAGAGTTTGGAGGTATGACTAGTATCCTCCCACCTTTTACAGAGTCGGGGTAATGATTTGACTTGATATAGAAACATGAGAAAAACTAAAGTTAGTAAATGCATTGATTTTATTTGCAAGTTTATATGTTCTGGCTTATAAACTAAATTGCATGTGACCTTCCTGCCCACCTCCTGTGTCAAGTGACAAATTGGTTGCTGCATGTCTAAAAGTGGAGAGCTGAAGGACACTTGCTCTACTTGAGACCAAACCGTGAAGCTGTACCTTCAACTCGGCTCAGTGCTGGGTCCTGCTGCAAACACCTGCAACCAGCATGAAAAGAGAGTCAGGGCAGAACGCTCTTCAAAGTGCACTGAGGATGCTGTGTGCTGTAGTGTGGAGTGTTGTGCAAATGCTGCCTTTTTTGAATATCAAGCAATTAAGGAAGGCTCACCAATTGCATCCTGGGTTCTTTTGGGGGTGTCCAACTAGGATCAACTTTAGGATTTTAGACAGCAAATCGCTTCCCCCCAAAATAGAACTTCAGACATATGCTGTTAATATCCTTCATATTCCTCACAATACTCAGACACATTAGTTGGTTAAGTATTTATTGATTGTCTACATTCCAGTTCATTAATAAACAGTTTATTTTACTCAGTGGTTTGTCACACATCAAAACTTTTGTTGGATCTTGTTCATGATGTCCTGTTTAATTCACTTCAGTTATACTAACTCTTATTTTGTTTTTATTTGCAGTCGATACACTATTGAATGTTAAATTAAGTGAAAACGAAAATGGCGAGTTTGTCTCTGTTCTTGATTTACCAGGCGACGTACTCATCATACCACAAGCTACCCTAGGTGGTAAACCAAAGGGAAGAAGGATGCAGTACCATGCAAACATTGAAAAAGAAAAAGGGTTGGAACTTTATTCTCAGTTTGTGACTTTGTGTGAAAAAGAACTGGCTGCCAGTGCCAAATGCATGGAAGCTGGTGTTCTTGTCAAGCATGGCACATATGGAAACAGGCAGGCGTTAAAACTGGATACAAATGGACCTTACACTCATCTGATTGAATTTTGAAAAAATAAATTATATCCCGAATACAGTACTGGTGTCTTTTGTTTGTTTTTGGTTTTTTTTCTCCTAAGCATTAAAGTGCTTGATTGCCTTGGGAGATAGTTTTAAAATTACTTTCACTCATCTGCACTGGTTTTGCCAATCCCAGTGAATTCCCCCTTGAGACTGCCTTGCTGTAATGGGTACATGTTTGTTATTCATATGCATCTGAAGTGTGCTCAAAATATTTGTTAATATTGATCCAATAATTCAAAACATCAACAAAGATGGGATAATGCAATCATTTTTTACTAAATAATAATGAAAGAAGTATTACATGTATAGCTTGAAGAAGTGGTTTATAGGTGAAAAAAGAATACTTTAGATGTACTTACGTCAATTTTTACCTTTATGTTTTCTATCTATAAAATGACAGTGCTTTCTAACTAACTAATGTATTGAAAACAGATTCACTGAATTTTAGCCTCTTAGAGAGTAAGTATTAAATAAGAAAATCCATCCCCCTCAACCTGAGTGTGTAAGGGTGGAAGACTTAAGGTAGTACGGGACTGATCATGGGCTATGCAGGGAAAAATAAGTGAGGCACATCTAGAAACCAGTATCACTGAATTGCTTGCTTGAAGTTTGCATTTTGAAATCTCTGATGTGTTTTGATAGGCTGCCTGCTATAGCTTGGTCTATGTCCTTGTTACTGTGGTCTTGCTGTCTACTCAATTCTTTCATAACAGAGCCTCAGGAAAAGAACATAAACATTCAAATGAAAACAAAAATAAAGATGATACAATGTACGCTGCCATCTCATTGTTCCCTCTTCCCCTATTGCTTCCTTCCAGCTTTTTGTCCATTGAATCTGCTAGGCAGAGACTAGCTTTCCTTTTATAGAAAAATGTATTGGTACATTTGGGGCCCCCTTCCCAGCTGGCCCCCTATGCAGTTCTGTTATAAACATTATTAACAGATGGTGTTAAGAAGATACCATGGGAAATTGTCTTGAAAGGAAGAACAGAACAGCTATATTAAAATGTGGCAAATTCAAAACTGATTCAAATGTGTTCATCCTGTGAATCAAGTTTCTTCAAGTTTTTAATGCAGCATTATGGTTTAGAAGGGTTCAAAATGAAATCAGACATTTATATGGTTTGCGGCAATTTTCCAGAACTGCCATTTGAAGAAGTTGTTGTTCTTGAAGATATGTAAAAACTTATGGTTAGTGAGGATGGTACCTTGCACAATCCTAAATTGTAGGCCGGTAGTTACAAATACTCTGTCCTTATCTTTATTTTGTACAAAACACTGAATGTGTAATCTGTAGGCTCAAACTGTGCCATAACAATCACTTTTTTTTAACAGAAGAACCTTATAGTTTTGGTAAGAGAGTAATGAGATTTTTTTTTAAGGTTAGCATAATATATGGTTAATAATTATCAAATAAAAAAGAATATTGAATTCCTGGCAACTGACATTCTCACAGTTGAAAACAACCATTTACACAAATGGCCTGGACATATTAGCTTTTAGGACCCAAATGACATATTTATTCATTAATAATTAACATTTATGACAGTCACAATATGAGTCATGTTCAAAGTTCCTACTAGCAGCACTTAAATGATATTGTCCTGATGCAAATGACTAATACAAATTCATTATCATCTGTGTGCTTGAAAAAACATTGTAGTTCCTCTTTCTGTTGGAGGTCAAATCCTGAAAAATGCTGAGTAATACCACTTTTCACTGATCTTACAGGAATTGATCCTTTGAGGTATAATACAAGTCTGCAGCTTTTAATTTATTTCATGTCTCCAGAAAGATCTTTGGCAGCCTGGCAATTAATTCTCTATATTTAAAAGTACTCTAATATTCTATGAGGGATAAGCTTGAAAATGTTTAGTGAAAAACAGACTTCAAACCAAACTCCATCTCATTGTGGTCTGTCATATAAAGCACATAAAAACTAATGTGCATTTCAGTCGTTCTTAGGACAAGTTGGAACTCTGAAATGGTTGTAAAAAGATGGATATTTATTTATTATCTGCACATTTTATTTGTGTATCCATCTTGGAATACTGATTTCTGCCATCCTCTGCTCCAGGGATTGGCAGCTTGTTGAATGTTGGTGCCCTTTGTACTGCTTTATTTATAACTACTATTGATTCACAATCCATTTACTGAAGAAAGCCATTTCTGAATAACATGCTGGACCATACTGATAAAAAAGATTGATTAAAATGAGTTTTTCAAAGCCAAATGCTTATTCCCTTCAACCATGAATATACACTTTAAACAAATGACTTGACTCTGCTTTAAATAGTTTCTGTAATATGACTAGACAAAAACTCAGATAATTATCCTGTTCTATACTTAGAGAATATCTATTAGAAGATGCTTAATATTTCCCACTTCCTTGAAATAACCTATAAAGTGAGGAGTTGTCCTTATGCTATTATTTTTCCAATTCAACTGACATAGAGGAATTTGCAATATCGGGTTTTTGTGACCTTGTTTGCAGCACACACGCCCTGTGTGTTGAAGCTGAGCATGTGTGGACTATGAACTGGGATCATAAACACTCACTAATGAGTTCAGGGGCAATAATCTGTTTTCTAGTCTCCTTCCCATGCCCTTTCTGGAATTTTTTTACCTCTGCTGCTACATAGAGTATGCAACATATGAATGTACAACATACAAATATTAATCCAGAACTGGAAGTTAACAGCATGTAGACCAGTAATACTTGCAACTGTATTGCTACTCTAGTGACAGTCCACAGGCCTTGTCCCAAGTGTTCCAAGAGCTCAGGATGGAGGTTTCTCACAGGAACTTTCCCCAGGCTTCTCAGAGCTTTGGTTTTATTTGATTTGGCTGTAACAATTTTTTTTCTAAGAACAGAAGACTACGGATAATTTGTTTTCCTTTTATGTATAACCGCAGTTGTTATATAGATATTAATAATTAGTATTTATTCTGTGTAGAATTATATATTTATGACTAACATAGTGTTACAGTGTAAAGAAATACAGGCCTATTAAAACAGCAGGAACTTTGAGAAGCAAAGACACCAACTGCAGCGTAAAGTAGAGGCATGGAATAGTATGAGATGGGGCACTGGCTGGCACTGGAGACTCCAAGACTATAAGCAACTTGCCAGTGGTCAGTTGAAGAAATACAAACTTAGATCTGGGCAAAACTGGACGATTATTGTTGTTATCATCATTATGCCTGTTATAGGTATCTTATTACTTATATAGGTATCTATCTTAGGGATAAAAAAAGAGAAGAAATAATGAGTATATGAGATAAGCAAAAAGCAAAAGACTTAAGATGATAAAAAAAAAAAAAAGTAACTGCAGTCCAGCGAAGAAAAAACAAGGAGTAAAACTTTATTAGAAAATGTATAAAAAGAACCCCAAGTGAGAGATATTTACAAAAAAAAAAAAAAAAAAAGAGAAAGAAGAAATCATAAACATCATACTCCTGCAGGCACAGGACTCCAGATGCTGATGGTCCACCGTGCTCCCTGTACCAGGTGGAAGCCATGAGGAGGTGAAAGGGCAAGCATGACACCAGGAAGAGGGGTAAGGGTAGGTACTAAATAGTGCATGCTTAACAATTTTTACTGTACTATTACTATTGAGACCTTCTATACAGTTTCTTTATTTTTATTTTCTTTGTTTTTCTGCAATAATTAGATTTGGACTGATAATAATTCTTTGATTAAATCACTAAGGTTGCAATTAAAATAAATTTCATGTGACTAAACATTGGGTGGATTTCTTTTTGGCCATAACAAGATTTTTCACGTAACAGTTTCTGCAGACAGTTGCTTCCCCATGTTAAAATGGCAGCCACTTGATGGGCTGCTGGATATCAGCCAGCCTTTGTGGTGCTTTTCACCAGGTCTTTTAATGCATCTGTGATGTCTGATCTCATTTACCACAAAAGCTCCACAAAAAATCTTCATTGTGACTCAATGCAACAACTGCTCCTTAGCTCCTCTTTGAGAACGAAGTTCCATATCTGCTTGGATTTAAAAGTATGATCTGCTGAACCTCAATTTTACCTCTGGTATAAAAATAGCTTCTTTGGAGAAGGAGGGGTGAATCTTTTAAGCTTCTGTCATTTTTTGGTTTTGGTTTCTATTACTGTCTTCTATATGGACTCCTTCAAACACGTTGTTTCTCTTTGGAAGCTGGAGTAGCAGTATGCCACAGAGGGCTAGAGTGCTCTCCACAAATGTACAGGCATTCATTACCTGAGGTCTGCTACCAAACTCTATTGTGTCTGGCTTTGTTTCTTAAATTCTTTGCATCTCAGTTCTCATCTAATAAATGGCTATCTATTTTTGTTTTCAGTGTCTTGATTCTTAAGAACATACATTGAACATACATTGTATTCTATGACCATCACTGGTTAATGTAGTGCACAGCATGAGTGGGACAGGACTGGATTGTCTGGGAGATCCACTAGTTGCTTTATTCTAAACATCAGAGTCACAATTGCTGGACAAGAACAGAAAACAGAGCTTCCTCCTTAATGTTTTCCTTGGGATAACAGCACCCAAAATTTGAGACACTCTCTCAAGAGTTTGATGAATTTCATATTTCCTATTTATTACTTCTTTGTTTCTTGAAGCTTCTTGAAAGCAACTCACAATTTTGGAATCTCCCTGAGATTCCCAAAAGATTTTGTTACCAGAAGTGCCATGCAATTACAGCTGAAAAGTAAACAGTGTATGTAGACAAGAGAAATAAACAGCAGTTAGAATAGCCCAAATACTATGAATGTATTGCACTTTTTCTATTTAAACCAATGCTGTCTTCTAGTTCAATTACTGCCAGTGTGTGGCTTTGGGCAAAGCAATTTTCTGCTCCACTTTTTCCATCTGTGATACAAAGAAAGAGTGAAAACAGAGGAAAAAGAGGTTTAAAACCACTGGGTTTTCCCCCTTTCACTAAAAGCAAAAAATCATCTCTGATCCTCTTTTTCCATTAGAAGGCAGTACGCTTTCACCTCTCTTCACCTTTGT